TCATTACTGTTTAAGAAATGTTGGGGTGAGAAAGTACATTCTGAAATATTATATAATGGATACGTTAATATTCTGTATTGTTGCTGGGCTTTTGTGATATAATTAAAATCAATATAAAAGAAAGTTGGAAAAAAAAGACCTGCCAAAAAGCATTACCAATTTTCAATCAAATATAACTACCCATTTTGTTTCCTTTATAAGCCCAACAGTTTGAGAGTCGCTGAAGTAAAGCTGATCAAACACACTGCTGTTCGCCATCTGTTTCTGTAGGTTTTTTTCTTTACTTCAGGCTGTGGTTATGAATGGATGGTCAGTAAGTCTTCAAAAATCAGGTCACAGTGAGACACATGATTGTGAATCTTATGTACTGTTCCCATCTAAAAATAGTAGCTTCCTTGCCTTGATGTGCATTAGTGTCTGAGCATCTAGCAGCATAAAATATCTCTTCAAATGGATTCAAAAGCCACAGAACGCTTGTCTTGTGAAAGTTACGAGATTTCATACGTTTACATATCAATTTGCTTATTTACAATGAGATTTGGCTGGGAGTTTACTCCACCAATTTATTATTTCTGTGGTATCGCTGGAAGAAAATGTGGTCTTTTGTAGGAATGCATAAATCTGGAGATTTCTAATTTAGGATGACAGCGGAAAGGAGAACATCCAGGCCAGACGTTTTAATACAAGAAAGAAAAAATAAAAGAGAGTAATTTACAACATGGTAAGGTTTGGGGTCACTGCTGCATTTATTTGAACACCAATACAGTAAAAATAATTAACATTTTTATATACAATTAGAGCTGCACGATTAATCGAAAAAAAGAACGCGATCTTGATTCGACCCCCTAGACAATCTTAATCTGGCATTTCTACGAATCTGCCAATTATATTTTCAAGTTCAGGAAAGAAGCAAAGGTGGCCGCACAAGTCTTCACATTGTTTTACGTCAGATGGACACCTCCAAATGCTGTTGAAAGAGTCACATACTGTATTTATAAGATTTAATTAACTCATAAATGTCATTTCTGTCTTACGACCACCAAATCACACATGACGTGAGCTGCTGACCATGAGCTGTTACCACAGTGAGGGCGGGCGGGCGCGTGCCCTACTTTATGATAGACGTGCGCGTCTACTTTAGTGAACAGAACCTGCATAGGCTGTGAATAACAGGTAATAAAGTTGTAAATAACATTCGGTTTGTGGCACAGAGTGAGCATTGGGAAGCCGCGTGGAAAGTATTAACAGCACTTAGCAGTGAAAATAAAACCGAAAACGTGCACATCATTTAAATAATCATATCACATTTTAGAGTTATGATTGCGACAAGCGTCTAATATGTTTTTCTTTCATAGCGAACTCATGTTGTGCATGAGAAAACATGTTTAACAGTGTCAGTATAACTAGGCTACTCTAACTAACCTATATAATGTTGAATATAATGCAAGAGTTGAATTGAAGAATTGAATTTAATTTAATTGAGGGAATCTGATACCGATAAAATTTCTGAATTTACCAGTAGAAAAAAGGTCTATATTATAGTTGTATTCTGATGTCATCACTTCACTGTGCATTAATAACCAACATTTGATTTGAATTAGATATTACACATAATATTATTACTGTTGTTTAACCATATGTTTGAGAAATCACAATAATAATAGCCTGCTCATAATAACCTTTATTTTACATCTACAGAATCGTGAGAGAATCGTAATCTTTATTTTAAGCAAAAAAAATCGTGATTCTCTTTTTAGCCAGAATCATGCAGCTCTACATACAATAGATTTTTTTATTGGCAGTAAATGTAAAATGCTATTTAATCCTGTGAGTTAAAGCTAGTTTTGCCTTACAGGATCCTTCAGAAGTCAATTTAATATGATAATGTGCTGCTCAATTAATATTTATTATTATTATTATTATTATTATTATTATTATTATTATTATTATTACTATTATTATTATTATTAAATAGGGTTAAAAACTGCTGGGCTGCTTCATATTTTTGTGGAAACTGGGATACAATGGCATTCAAAATTACCATTAAAGATGTATTTACATTAATCAAGACCAAATCAAACTGTCTAACCGTAAAATTTAAAACAAAAAAAATTTTTTTTTTTTTGCATTGTTTTTAGTCCTGGGAAAATTTAAGTGTGATTAATCTCATCCAAAATAAAAGTTGATAGAAAATGTTTAGATAGAAATTATATATGTATATGATACAAATGATATATAAATGTAAATATCTATTTAACAAAATAATCTTTTATAGGTTTCTATGTATGTATCATGATTTAATACACGCACATATATTATGTCAAAACCAACTTTAACTTTAAATGCGATTAGGGTGATATTAACCATAATTATTTTCAAAGAAAAGCTAAATATTTATACAATTTCCAAAAAACTATGTATGAAGGAGGAAAAAATGGATATCAACATAGATATCGTTATCAATAATTACCCGTGATAACAACCAATCCTTATAAAACTTATCATATGTTCAGTATTAAAAAAAATTATAATCAGCATATCATAAAGATTTCTGACACTGAACACTGGAATAAAATAATTCACTTTAGAACTCCATGAACAAATTACAGCATAACACATACTAAAACAATGAAAAACAGTTATTGATCAAATAAATGCAGTCATGGTGAGGAAAAAGAAGTTTTTCCAAACAATAAAAATAGTTCCTGATCCCTAAACTTCTGACCAACAGCAGAACTGAAATGGGTTCATGGAGCGGGGCTGACAGGCTGGTGTAAAGCGAACCCTGCAGGCATCAGATCAGCTTTGGCTGGTGCTGGACACTTCAGGGCTCCTACTGCTGAATAGGTAAGCTGAGAAATTCCTCGGCCTTCTGTTTCAGGCCGGCTGTAAAAGTGCTGAAGCATCAGCGGCTGCAGTTCATCGCTGCTGGGCTCTGGTTTTTCACACACACACATATACATGTATGCTGAAGGACAGGAGCTCTCTCCAAAAACAATACACATCTGCACAAAAGCTCTAGGCATTATTGGTGCTCAACTCAGAGCCAGAATCTACAGGGAAGAGTGGCTGTTTACAAACCTCATATAATTTTATTAATCTCACTTAGATTTTATTTGTGTATAAATTTCACCTCCAATCAAAGAGAAACCAAGTGACACACACCAAAAGAACAATGCTGTAGGAGTTCCTATATGAATTATGGAATCTTTGGATTGTTTCAAATTGGTTTTGAAAGCAGTTTCTGCTGACCTAGACTACAGAATGTTTACCAAAAATGTAGTAAAAGAGTAAGATTGATGAATATTACTGTGATTTTAAAATAACTGTTGAATATGTACGTTAGCTATAGCCATTAGTTTAACGTAGATTGTCACATGATCCTCTGGAAATCCTTCTAATTTGTCAGTTTGCCGTTTCTTCATATTTAAGTATTTATTATGAACAATTGTAATAGTATCATAACTGGAAAAAAAAAATTAGTATTAAAGTATTAAAAGAAATATATATATTACTGTAACATGCAGAAAATTTTTTATTTAATTATTTTTTATAAAATGTTTTATACTTTTTTCCTACTTACATATTTTTTATATAGATGCAAACACACACACACACACACACACACACACACATATATATATATATATATATATATATATATATATATATATATATATATATATAGTGGTCCCTTGTTAATCGCAGGAGTTGCGTTCTAAAAATCACCCGCAATACAGTAGATGAAATCCACGAATTAGTCAGCTTTATTTTTTACAATTATTCTAGATGTTTTAAGGCTGTAAAACCCCTCACTACACTATTTTCTCAGATAGTTATTGACTACATTTTCACACTTTTCTCTCGTTTAAACAGTCGCGTAACTTCTGTCTGTCTAGAAGTCCAACCTGGGGAGAAAACTTGCAAACATGCGCTGTTAAAAAAGCATGTCAAATTGCACAAAAAATCCATGAAACCGTGAGACCGCGAAAGGTTATGGTGAGGGACATCATAAACAAAACATAAACCTATGCACGACAAACCAACCCATAAAACAGAGTCAATGGCATTTCCAGGGGAGGCTGATTGACTTCCATAGTGAAAGTGAATTAGTGCGAACCAAAAATACAACAGTGGCTGCAGGCTCTGGTGTCTAGTGTCATGACACTGATAGTAACAATTCTATTGAACCAATTAGTGATCAGCAGTGTGTAAATGGTGTGTTTTTGTAACGGAAGGTACTTTAAAAATTCCCAAATGTGGAACACAGTAAAAAATCTCCTGCAAGTAAATCGAACATCGTACCATGCATTAGAAAAGTATCTTAACACTTTTTAAAAAAAAAGAAAATAACATTAATACAGTTATAGTAGGCCTATATTATTTTAATAAGTGGTTGAATGATTGTTTTTGTATCAACTAAGTCATAAAATTTGCATCGAAATGAAAAGTGAGCACCGAAATAAAAGCACATCTCATTTAAAAGACGTATCCCTGATTTATATACAACCAGAAAATAGATTAGAAGCAAAGGATGAATCAAACAGTCACACACTTTCCAACTGTTCACAAGTGAGACCAAAAATCTCCAACATCCGACCTCCTGCTCGCGGCTCCCACTGTGCAAGAGTTTTCTTCTGTTTCATAAGACAAATCTAATTAGCACAAAACTCCAATTAAATGAAAAGAAACTATTAGTGGCAGAGAATAAAAAAAACTGTTTCCAGGAATAGAACTTGTCAATAAGGTGCAACTCTGCTACTCTCTATCATTTTTTTTTTCGTTATGGTGATGAAGCGAGCTGAAAATACAGTGTTTTAATTATTGCACTCACTAATTAAACAGACTGATCAATGCTTATAGCTCATCACCGCTACACCTGTTTACAAGCACTAGAGAACGGAGTACAGCAGGTTAGAAGAGAGGTTTTCGCCGTTTGGAAAGCAGGCGGATGACACAGCTAATGAGATCAATGTGAAACTGACTGACATCAAACTCACAATTAGCACATGGTCCTCTGGCCAGGCCTCGTCTGCTTTAGTAGAGCTCAGACCTGTTGAAAAACACAAACAAACAAAAAACTGTTAATCAGTTGCCTAGGTCATGTTACATTGAAGTCAGAATAATTGGCTCTCCTGAATTATTACACCCGCTGTATACTCCACAGAGCATCTGTTTAACAGAAACAAAAATTTTTTTTACAACACATTTGTAAACAGTTGTAATAACTAATTTCTTTTATCTTATGTATGACTCCCATGAGCTTGGACGATTACATTCATACAAATGACTCCTGGTAACTGGGCTGGCTAATACTGGAGCACCTTGACCTTCTTTGCTTTCAGGAACTTATGTGTGGAGGTGAAGTATGAGAAGAAACGCTCTCCTGCTGAAGAATTTGCCCTCTCCTGTGGTTTCTAATGTAACAGGCAGCACAAATGTCTTCATACCTCAGGCTGTTGATGTTGACCCCTACTCTGCAGATCTCTAGTACGCCCCAATACTGAATGTAACCCCAAACCATGATTTTTCCTTCATCAAACTTGACTGATTTCTATGAGAATCTTGGGTCCATGCGGGTTTATAGGTCTTCTGCAGTATTTGTGATGATATGGATGCAGTTCAAAAGATGATTCATCAGAAAAATCAACCTTCTGCCACTTTTCCAAATGATAAACTAGAAGTCAAGTGATTATTTGTTGCTCTTACAACTGGATCAATGACAAGACTTTTGTCAGGTAGTGCACATACAAAGAAACAAAGACATTTTTTCAATCAACTTTTATTTATATAGCACTTTACTACAACCAAGGTTGACCAAAGTGCTTTACACAAGTAAAAGCAAATTTAATAACACAACACAACACAACAGAAAAGGAGACGCTGCAAAACAATACAAGAAATATCAATAAAACACAGCAAACTTTAAAACATAATGAAGTGTCAGTGCTATACATTAGACAAGCCAATTTAAACAAGGGGTGTCTTAAGCTTGGCCTTAAAAAAAGTTATAATAATGATCATTATAATTATTATAATTATTATTATTATTATTATTATTATTATTATTATTATTATCGTTACATTTTATGAAGCTTTATATTAAATCAAAAAATATTTTTAAATTAGATTATATTACATTAATGTTTTATGAAGCTTTTTATTATTCACATTTTATGAAGTTAAAGTTTCCTTGAGAAACTTCATTTCCCCATTATGGTATCAAGACAGCTGTCACTATTTATTATAATTTTTATATAATTGTTTAAGATAAATATAATTTGAAAATGTGTAAATTTGCAAGCGTTATAAGTATTATATTTACATAAACTACATATTATATTTGTATTTTACTAAACTTTTTAAATAAAAATTGAATAAAATTTATTTAGATTACACAAAATTCTTGGATTCCTTATAAATTATTAATGTTAAAAGTAAATAATAATAACAACAATTATGTTTTGTTTTTATTTACATATGGTTATTAGCAACAATTATTAACAATGATTTTGTTCATGATATTAGTTATGATGTTAATATTGAATGAAATTTAGTATGTGTGTGTGCACGGGTGTGTGAATTAAAAATGTAATGATATTCAAAAACAGTTCTGTTTTCTATCAAATAAGCAATTAATCAGCAGTCCTGGAGAAAATCAGGAAGTGTTTTTTTTAGCAAATGACAAAAACAAGAACAAATCGGGTCTTGTGTGCTTTTGTCATCCGCACATGCCAGTAAAGACAGAATTGAGCAAGCAGAGGATGGAGAAAAGCACCATTCATTTACAAAGAACATCAACTTGTGTGGCGTCGCCTGCAGCTCACAGAATCAACCCGGCTGATGGAGACTCGTCCCCCGCGGATTAAGATTTAAATTGAGGCCCATCTACTCTGTCACCAAAATGGATATTGTATCCTTCATGCAGGAAGCCAGGAATTATGGCATCCCTCTCTTCCCCTTTACTGCTCTTGACAGATAAGTGGTGCAAACAGAGCAGTGGTGCTTTTCAAAAGCAGCAGTCGCCTTCATCTACAAATGGTCGAACTGAGCATGGGACGGCCGGTCTGTGAGAGACGTTTGGGCCGCTGCTCCTTTTAAAACATTGCATGCTGTGAACTGACTCAAATAAATATCCCCAAAGGCAACCCTCGTTCAAACACGCGCCATCAAACCATACTTGCACAAATACCATCAGGGCACTCAAACATGGGTTAGGACGAAAGAAAGCATATAGCTGATCAGCAGGACAAATCTACAAACTAAATCAAGACGATATAATAAAAATTATATATCAAATAAAATATAAAATAAAATGAAATGAAACAGAAGTGTTGCTTTACAAACTATTTCTCTACTATGTAATAATAATATTAATAAAAAATATGTCAACATACTATTAAATATTAATATATGAGCAACATTATCATAAAAAGATTTATATTACTATTTTATGTTTGTAAAGATATAATATATAAAATGTACTTAAAAAACTGCATTTTTAGACCACTTGACAATATTAAATGTTATTTAAAATATAACTTTATCTGAAAAATTAAATGTACAATAAAATTCTAATAAAAAATAAAAAAACAAAACAAAACAAAGCAAAAGCACAAATAAAAATTTTATCAAATACAATAAAACAAATGTGTTGCTTAACAAACAATTTTCTCTACTTTGTGATACTATGCATAGCAAAATATAATGTCAATATTATTTTATATTAATATATGAACAATATAATAGAAAATATGCATATTAATATTTTATGTTTGTAAAGATATAGCATTTAAAATGTATTTAAAAAATACAGTATTTGTGGATCAATTGAGGATATTAAATGTTATTTAAAACATAACTTTATATAAAAAATAAAATGTACAATACATTTCTAATAAAATTAAAACAAAAACAAAACAAAATTTGATCAAATAAAATAAAACAAATGTGGTGCTTCACAAACTATTTTCTCTACTTTATGATAATATGCATATTAAAATATAATGTCAATATTATTTTATATTAATATATGAGTATTATTATAATAAAAGTAATACTATTAAAATATTAGGTTTGTAAAGATATAACATTTAAAATTAATAATTTAATTTAACCTTAAAACATTATATTAAAACATTATATAAACATTAAATGTAACATCAAAAATAACATTAAAAAATGTTTTAAAAACCAATGTATTTTTGGACCACACGACAATATAAAATTTAAATATACAATAAAATTCAAATAAAGCAAACCAAAAAAGAAAACACAATTTATTAAAATGAAAGGCATGCTGCATCACAAACAATTTTCTCTACTTTGTTATAAATTACAAAATTTTAACTATTTTTTTTTTTTTTTTTGCATCTCTTGATTTGTTCCTTTTTTAAAATTTGTATTTAATATTTTTCCATAACATATAAATTTGAGTGTACTAGTTTTTGGATTATTGTCGTAGGTTATTTTGTTAGATAAGCTCCAGATTTGGCTAACGTATTTGATCTAATGTATAAGTACAGATAAAGTATTGCATAGCTTCCTATTAAAAATCTGAATTTTAAAGATAGATTTGTGAGGGGTGTACTTGTATATGCTGAGCACTGTATTATTATTAAATGAGTAATATTATAATAAAAATAATAATATTACTCTCTTATGTTTGTAAAGATATAACATTTTAAATTTTACATAAATTATATTTAAAAAACCAATGTACTTCTGGACTGCACAACAATACAAAATGTTATTTAAAACAATCTTAAATTAAAATTAAATTTACAATAAAATTCCAATAAAATAATAATAAAAAAAACACAAAACTAAATTTTATAAAATAAAATAAAACAGATGTGTTGCTTTACAACTATTTTCTCTACTTTATATTATATTATTAATATTACCACAATGTCAACATATTCCATATTAAAAGATGAGTAATATTATAATAGAAACAATATTATAACTTCATCAAATTCTAAATATCAAATCAAAAATACCTTATGTTTGTAAAGATATAACATTTAAAATTTCACATCATTATTTAAAAAGCAATGCACTTTTGGACTGCACAGCGATATCAAATATTATTTAAAATATACATTTTTATTAAAAAGTAAATGTAAAATAAAATTCAAATGAAACAAAAGAGCAAAGCACAAAACAAATAAAAAAACACACAAAAAATAAAATACGTTGTGGACTTTCTCTGAAAATATCTCTAACAGCCTCTCTCCTTTAAACACTGTCCTTCAAACAGCAGCGAGCCAAGTAATGGCAGGATCATACCACTCAGACCCTGTTTTTCCAACACACTCCCTTCTCCCATCTCCTCTGTGTGTCCAAGCGGTCTGTGCAACCAAAAGGTCAGCAGTAGGTAATTTGTTTTTAGCTATGCAGACAACCCTCACAACACACACGGCCAGGTAAACCAATTACACCCTGACATGAATGGCCATGACAAACAGCCTTCGCACACAAGCGCCGAGGCCATTAGCGTCATGCCACTGTCCTCCCTCTCAGAGAAGATCACCAGCCCACCGTGCTTCACTATCTCCCATTAACCGACCGACCGGCTGATCATTAACCAACACCAACTCAATACAAACAGACACGTCATACACAACACTCCAGATATTAAACCACACTATCCTATCAAATCACACATAAACAATATCATGTACATTATCACGATTTATTGCACACTGAATATCAGCATCTTCTATTTCCTACCAACTTTAAAGGTGAAATTAAAATAATATTTTTTAAATGTTAGTATCAGTTTGTTAGTCTTAAAGAGCACATGAAATCAAACTAACCATATTAATCTTGTTAGCACAAGTTGCTAGTTTTGAGTTGGACAATTCATCTGTGCATGTCATTAAGAAAGAAAAAAACAAGTGCAAAACAGTTTGCCCTTTTAATCTAAAATTAAAAACTCTATCAGACTGTATCAGACTATACACAAGACGTCACTCATTTAGTTTTGAACGGGGAAAAGTGTAATGGTCAGTATGGCGAATGAAGTCCCGCCTGCTAGTACATGAGCCA